GCTAGTGTATAAAGGGCATTGTTGGGCTGCAATTTGAAAAAATTGTAGTCCCATAAATTTCCACTGTCATCCATCTGTTCATCTGTCTTGTCTTAATCTTGAGAAAGGAGTTAGATAGATGAAAGAGAAGACCAGGTATGAAAACCTTAGGGGGAGGAGCCCCATATAGAAGTTCTTACATAGTTCTTAACTATATAAGAACTTCTGTTGTAAACCAGAAATCATGTTATTTCAATTCAAAAATTTTCCCCTGAAAGGTGTTAGATAGGTGACCAGCACAACTCTATTGTGAAAGGAAAAGTATGATGTACAGGGGCAAGCCACTACTAATCTGAAGTGGAGAGCATATATTTTAAGGTAAATAAATTTAAAATGAGCTTAAAAATTTCAGTCTGGCATTGTGACAATGTCACAATAAATAATTGCTTGTTGCTATTAAATTTTGGTGGTGAACAGTTGAATGGGTGGGGAAATAGAGGGTGTTCACATGTCATATCTTGAATGGGGTTGGACTTAACCCTAGATAACTAAACTTAATTTTCAGTTACATTATAACTACACATTCGTCGAGCAGACTACGCATTAAAAAACATCAATATCATCAAAATTGTTTAATAAAAATAGGAACTTGTTACACGGCACATGAAGATTTTACTTGTTAACATTTACAGTTTTTTACAAAACTCATCTCTACCCTCAAAATTAAGCATTTTGCCATGAGACTTTGTTATAAGAATTTTCTATATATTTTTTTATTATATAGACAAAAAGTATAGAAAATTCTTATAACAAAATCTCAAAACAGATGGAGCCACACACAATTTTATTTATTTATTATGTTAATAACAAAAAAGTTATTTTTTAAAAATTCTCATAACAGCTGAAAAAGTTATGCAACTTATTGCTGGATTTTTTGGTATCCTGGTGTAATTATTGCTACAGCAGTTAAATTCCTTAAAACAATTAATTATATTATATGACACTACTAATTAAATCATGTTTGAAAGAATACTTGAAATTTATAATTAATGAATACATATAAAGAAGACTTTTAAACAAGTGAAAGCTTCAAAAACTAGCAACAGTTTATAATTTAATAAAATTTCATGAAACTATTTTATGTAGAATTTTTTTATCAACTTTAACTTATAATGAAAAGTTCATGTTGCTAACTAAAAATCATTTTTGATCCAGCAGATTATTCTTTAATAAAATGAATGATTTTGGCTGCATTTATCTGCTATTGTTAGGTTTTAAGTACAGAACTGAAAAAACAGTAACATGTAGAATGTCTCATGGATCAATTTGATTTAACATTTAAATACCTGTTAAGTACCAAATTAATTGAGAAGTAAACAGAAAATGTGAAGTATTATCAATGTAAATAAAATTGGGGATAAACATTCTAGTGCTACATTCTCCATAGCTTTTACTTTCAATTGCAAAAAATTTGCATTGTAATATGAACTGTGCACTCAGAGTTTATAAGAAAACATTTGACATGTGTTTGATGATCTGTTGGCATTACAATGATTTATGCAGTTGCCAGCTATGCTGTTTGTAAATTTCAATAATTTCAGCCTGCTTGTTGACAATAGGATTATCAATGACTTGCTTATATGTACCTGGAAGATGACATTGTTCTCCTGTATTGTAAATGAAGAGAATGCTATAGAATTATATCCCTTCCTGCCATCATGTTAGTGTTTTTTGAATCTTATTCTAAGGTGTCTGAATGTGTGTCTCATATATATGTAGTTTTGTTGGGATCTTGTACATACCCATTTCCAGATTGGGATCTATGAGAGCTTTGTCATTCTGTAGCAAGTGTCATAAAAGTGACATACTGTCTAACACTAGCACAATTGTACATACAGATAGTTAGGGTTATGAATATCAAGAGTGGTTTCAAGTGAGGTATCACAGTATACCTCTCACTGCAGAATGACAAAACTCCCATATACCCCATTCTGAAAGTGGGCATATACAGGATCCCAGTGAAAGACAATTCCAAAAAAACTACATTCATATGGGATATACATTCAGGCACCTTAGAATAGGATTCAAAGAGCATTAATACAATGCCAGGAAGTGATGTATCTATATAGCATTCTCTGTAGTCACAGCATTGGAGGACAATGTCGTATTCTGGGGTAAGGCACATATAATCAGGCTCATTGAGAATCCTATTATTAGCAAGCAGGCTGAAATTATCAAAATTTACAAACACAACATAATGACAACTATGTAAATCATTTTAATGCAAACATACTATCAAATGCATGGAGAATGTTGTAATGCTAGAACCTTTATCCCTAATTTTATTTACATTTGTAATACTTTACATTTTCTGTTTATTTCTCAATTAATTTGGTAGTCAATGGTTAAATCTTTAAATATTAAATTAAATGAATTCATGAGGAATTCTATTCAGTTGATATTCTGTACTTAAACATGAACAATTCAGAAAATCTTGTAAGTACCCAACCAGATTTGTCCAATTTTGCCGTCCAAAAATCTTTTTTAATCCAGCAGATTACTCTTTAATAAAAAAGTTTTATTTCCTGTTATAGCATTGAATTAGCTTATCTTATGTTGTCTAAATATTAAATATTTCATTATAATAAAAAATACTCTTGATATATTAAAATTACGTTAATACTACTATAATCTGAAATTTGTCTATTAGGAAGCATAATTTTGTTCTCTTATACTGCTTAAAACTCATTTAGTATGATATTTACACAAAAAATTGTCTATCTAAATGAGAAGAAAACAGATTTGCATGTAGTAAGATAACTTTTCCATCTCTTTCATATTTTATATTAGTACTTACATACTTATATGTTTATATATTAAACAAGTTAAGGTTAAAAGTATTGTATCTATTTTTATTTGATTTATTTAATATTATACATGTAAATATTAAGAATTTTGTCATTAATTTCAAAAAAAGACATATTTTTCAAATAGATAATTACAATGTATTCATTCTTTCTCTGTTACAGAAAAATCTATTATTAAAAGTGTAAATAAAAAATTTAATAATTTAATAAGAATAGTAGTACAGTAGAGCCTCGAAAACTCAGCACTCCAGATAACTCAGCCACACCCTGGCAGGGCAAAAAAACCTTAGTTAATTAATTTTCATGATAAAGACAGCTTTATGCCTCATAAAGTATTTTTCTGAGGTCTGTCTTATCAGGTAAATTACTGTACACAGTGTATTCATTAATTTTCATTTTCATGTAGTAAAGGCTCTATGCCTTTATAAAGGACGAACTTTTCCTTTGTTTAAGGATATTTGGGCATTTTATTCTCTGTTGTATTCTCAAATAAACAATACATACAAGTACAGTACAGTATTTTCTGAGGAAACACTCATACTTATTTTTTTAAATCCCATTCCCGATAACCAGGCATTTTCACAAACTCGGCCACCTTTGGTCCACATTAGACCGAGTTTCGAGGATCTACTGTAAAACACTAAAATGAACAAAAGTTGAAAGAGATGTGATTAATTGAGATTTATTAAGTGTACAGCAAGTATATATCAATGGAGAGGTTAATATAAATAATATTAATCATGAAATGATATAAGATAGGAAATCAATTAAGATATAATACAAATAATAATAATAATATAAATATAATAATAATAAAGGTACATTATATTCAGCAAAAAAAAAATAAAAAATAAAAAAATAAATTGATATTTTGTTGAAGTTGTAAAGCAAAAGCCTGCTGCCAGGAAATGAACCTCTCCATAACCATAGCAAAATATACTGGTTGGATATATTAAGAATTGCACTAAACAATTTTATTTCAATATGATTATCAATGAATTGATAATCATATTGAAATTGTTGAGATGAATGGAATATAAATTAGAAAGAATTAGAACATAAATTATTAAAAACTAGAAGTATATTAAAAGCTAGAGTAGCTGCATAGAATAAAACGATGCAATGAAATATTAATAAGAAATCGATATATTATATAGATAGGATTGAAAAAAAGTAAAAAAATGAGATCATAGAAGAAAGATTTAGAATAACTGTTATATAAATATAATATTCAAGATTCAATATTCTAAGCATAAATAATTTGAATTTCATTGAATAGGAAACAATGTTTACTGTCCACATTAGATAAAAAGTTGACTTTATTAGTTGTATTAAATAATTTTAATAAAATTCACAAGAATTTATGTTCTATGATATATTGCTTTCAATCAAGTTAATAAAAATATTCATCTATTGAAGACTATTAAATTATATGATAAAAAGATTAAAATTAATAATAATGCATCAACAACTGCTTCTAGAAATATATAAAATATATTACAGTATATCATTAATTAGTTAAATAATTTTATTTGTTTCATACAGTAAATTATAAATTTAAAAAATGTAATTTTTAATTTTTTTTTACTCATAAATAAGAAAATTTTATCATAAAAATGATGTGTTTATAGATATGTTTTTGGTACATTTTGATGTCTATTCCAATAAATCATACAGTATTGATAAATAATATATAAGTTTATCATATTATTTTTGATAGCAATTGTATTTAAATTGAATCTATATCATTTGCTGCATGGAAATTTTATACAGTATAATTTAAAGTATTTATTTTATACTGTTTAAAATTATTTCTAAAATTGTTATGATGAAAGAAATTTTTATGATTCTATATTATTTAAAATTATAAATTACATTGTAATTGTTCTTGCTTGTAAGAATATTTCAAAAATGTTAGGAAATTAAAATATGTTTATGATTTATGGAAATAATAGTGTTTTGGAAATTTTAAAACTAAAAAATTTGTCATAAAAACTTGATTATTAATAAAAAATGAATAACTTTTAAGATATTTAAATTTTGCTTTAAAAGATTAGTTTTTAAATATATATATTATTGATTTTAGTAAACTGTGTAATAATATAAAAATACATGTAGAAAACAAAACTAAAATAATGCTTATGTTTTTTAAAGGAATGACTGTAATGACAATGACTGCTACTGACTATGATGATCCTAATGAGGGTTCAAATGCTAGATTAAAGTATTCTATTGAACAAAATCAAGTCAATGAAAATGGAGAATTGATTTTTACTATTGATGAAGAAACTGGAGTTATCTCCACAGCTGTATGTTGCCTTGATAGAGAAACTAATCCAGAATATACTATTAAAGTTGTTGCTATGGATGGAGGTGGACTAAAAGGTGATTGTATCCATTATAAATATTTAATCTGCTAAATATAATTTTTTTCTAGTTAATCTGATGGTAATATAATTTTAAATTGTATCAGAGATAATTGTCAAGCAATTTATTATATAAATATTGCTTTTTTTTAATTAGTAAATGACTTATATTTTAAATTTTAACGGATTCTTAAGCAATTTTTAAGTATAACATTATCTTTTTTTATTATTGTCCAAAGAAAATTTATTAGAAACTAAATAATTATGAGCTTTAGTTGAAGCAACTGTCTACAATGCTGAATCAGCAGACTTGCTTTATTCAGTAGTTGAATCTTAGATCAATATCATCACTAGAAATGACACTAGCATCTGTCTTGATGCATTACGTACAAGTGTAGTAAAAATATATTTGTCAACAAAAAGTTAGAATAAATGATTTTTCTTTGAAAAATTCTGAAATATTTATTTAAATGATACTTTTTGCATAGCAACTGGAATTGATATATTTAAGACATTTTACAATATAACAACTGAAATTTTCTGATTATTTTGCTTAAATTTTATATAACAACTTCTAAATATCATTAGAAAATAGTTCATGGTATTAAATGAATTTGAATGCCAATTATATGAAGAACAAATCTAATATAATGAGAAAATAAAATTTTTTTATATATTAATGTAACTTTACTTAAATTATGTATTTTTATCAATATTATAATAAAAATAAAATATGTTCTTTTAATTACAAAATTATAATGATCTTTATAATGATTAACATTTATTTTCATTTACTAATTATTTTATAAACAATTTCAGTCATATCAATTACCAGTATTAATTTTTCTTGATTGTTCTTGTTCTTAATTTGCTAGAAATTAGATTATCATTTATAGTGTGCAAGCTTTGATTTTTTCAAATCTCATGACAATTCTTTGATTCTACACTCAATTAATCTGAAATTATTTATCTTCATAGATATTAGTGTAATTGATTTTTATTTATTTAACATTAGTATTATTCCCAAATGACTAGGTACTGGTACTGCAACAATAAAAATTAAAGATATCAATGATATGCCACCTGAGTTTACCAAAAAAGAATGGCAGGTAGAAGTAGATGAGACTGAAAGTGACAATATACCAGAAACTCCAATTCTTGTTGTATCTGTTAATGATGGAGATCTTTTAGAAACAAATCGTTTTAGTTATAAAGTGATTGATAATGCATTTGGTGCTGATAAATTTACAATGGTTACAAATTCTGATGGTACAGGATCACTAAAAATTGCAAAGGTATGAAACATTATTATTTTAAAATCTATATTAATTAATTAATTAAATTACTGTACACAGTGTATTCATTAATTTTCATTTTCATGTAGTAAAGGCTCTATGCCTTTATAAAGGACGAACTTTTCCTTTGTTTAAGGATATTTGGGCATTTTATTCTCTGTTGTATTCTCAAATAAACAATACATACAAGTACAGTACAGTATTTTCTGAGGAAACACTCATACTTATTTTTTTAAATCCCATTCCCGATAACCAGGCATTTTCACAAACTCGGCCACCTTTGGTCCACATTAGACCGAGTTTCGAGGATCTACTGTAAAACACTAAAATGAACAAAAGTTGAAAGAGATGTGATTAATTGAGATTTATTAAGTGTACAGCAAGTATATATCAATGGAGAGGTTAATATAAATAATATTAATCATGAAATGATATAAGATAGGAAATCAATTAAGATATAATACAAATAATAATAATAATATAAATATAATAATAATAAAGGTACATTATATTCAGCAAAAAAAAAATAAAAAATAAAAAAATAAATTGATATTTTGTTGAAGTTGTAAAGCAAAAGCCTGCTGCCAGGAAATGAACCTCTCCATAACCATAGCAAAATATACTGGTTGGATATATTAAGAATTGCACTAAACAATTTTATTTCAATATGATTATCAATGAATTGATAATCATATTGAAATTGTTGAGATGAATGGAATATAAATTAGAAAGAATTAGAACATAAATTATTAAAAACTAGAAGTATATTAAAAGCTAGAGTAGCTGCATAGAATAAAACGATGCAATGAAATATTAATAAGAAATCGATATATTATATAGATAGGATTGAAAAAAAGTAAAAAAATGAGATCATAGAAGAAAGATTTAGAATAACTGTTATATAAATATAATATTCAAGATTCAATATTCTAAGCATAAATAATTTGAATTTCATTGAATAGGAAACAATGTTTACTGTCCACATTAGATAAAAAGTTGACTTTATTAGTTGTATTAAATAATTTTAATAAAATTCACAAGAATTTATGTTCTATGATATATTGCTTTCAATCAAGTTAATAAAAATATTCATCTATTGAAGACTATTAAATTATATGATAAAAAGATTAAAATTAATAATAATGCATCAACAACTGCTTCTAGAAATATATAAAATATATTACAGTATATCATTAATTAGTTAAATAATTTTATTTGTTTCATACAGTAAATTATAAATTTAAAAAATGTAATTTTTAATTTTTTTTTACTCATAAATAAGAAAATTTTATCATAAAAATGATGTGTTTATAGATATGTTTTTGGTACATTTTGATGTCTATTCCAATAAATCATACAGTATTGATAAATAATATATAAGTTTATCATATTATTTTTGATAGCAATTGTATTTAAATTGAATCTATATCATTTGCTGCATGGAAATTTTATACAGTATAATTTAAAGTATTTATTTTATACTGTTTAAAATTATTTCTAAAATTGTTATGATGAAAGAAATTTTTATGATTCTATATTATTTAAAATTATAAATTACATTGTAATTGTTCTTGCTTGTAAGAATATTTCAAAAATGTTAGGAAATTAAAATATGTTTATGATTTATGGAAATAATAGTGTTTTGGAAATTTTAAAACTAAAAAATTTGTCATAAAAACTTGATTATTAATAAAAAATGAATAACTTTTAAGATATTTAAATTTTGCTTTAAAAGATTAGTTTTTAAATATATATATTATTGATTTTAGTAAACTGTGTAATAATATAAAAATACATGTAGAAAACAAAACTAAAATAATGCTTATGTTTTTTAAAGGAATGACTGTAATGACAATGACTGCTACTGACTATGATGATCCTAATGAGGGTTCAAATGCTAGATTAAAGTATTCTATTGAACAAAATCAAGTCAATGAAAATGGAGAATTGATTTTTACTATTGATGAAGAAACTGGAGTTATCTCCACAGCTGTATGTTGCCTTGATAGAGAAACTAATCCAGAATATACTATTAAAGTTGTTGCTATGGATGGAGGTGGACTAAAAGGTGATTGTATCCATTATAAATATTTAATCTGCTAAATATAATTTTTTTCTAGTTAATCTGATGGTAATATAATTTTAAATTGTATCAGAGATAATTGTCAAGCAATTTATTATATAAATATTGCTTTTTTTTAATTAGTAAATGACTTATATTTTAAATTTTAACGGATTCTTAAGCAATTTTTAAGTATAACATTATCTTTTTTTATTATTGTCCAAAGAAAATTTATTAGAAACTAAATAATTATGAGCTTTAGTTGAAGCAACTGTCTACAATGCTGAATCAGCAGACTTGCTTTATTCAGTAGTTGAATCTTAGATCAATATCATCACTAGAAATGACACTAGCATCTGTCTTGATGCATTACGTACAAGTGTAGTAAAAATATATTTGTCAACAAAAAGTTAGAATAAATGATTTTTCTTTGAAAAATTCTGAAATATTTATTTAAATGATACTTTTTGCATAGCAACTGGAATTGATATATTTAAGACATTTTACAATATAACAACTGAAATTTTCTGATTATTTTGCTTAAATTTTATATAACAACTTCTAAATATCATTAGAAAATAGTTCATGGTATTAAATGAATTTGAATGCCAATTATATGAAGAACAAATCTAATATAATGAGAAAATAAAATTTTTTTATATATTAATGTAACTTTACTTAAATTATGTATTTTTATCAATATTATAATAAAAATAAAATATGTTCTTTTAATTACAAAATTATAATGATCTTTATAATGATTAACATTTATTTTCATTTACTAATTATTTTATAAACAATTTCAGTCATATCAATTACCAGTATTAATTTTTCTTGATTGTTCTTGTTCTTAATTTGCTAGAAATTAGATTATCATTTATAGTGTGCAAGCTTTGATTTTTTCAAATCTCATGACAATTCTTTGATTCTACACTCAATTAATCTGAAATTATTTATCTTCATAGATATTAGTGTAATTGATTTTTATTTATTTAACATTAGTATTATTCCCAAATGACTAGGTACTGGTACTGCAACAATAAAAATTAAAGATATCAATGATATGCCACCTGAGTTTACCAAAAAAGAATGGCAGGTAGAAGTAGATGAGACTGAAAGTGACAATATACCAGAAACTCCAATTCTTGTTGTATCTGTTAATGATGGAGATCTTTTAGAAACAAATCGTTTTAGTTATAAAGTGATTGATAATGCATTTGGTGCTGATAAATTTACAATGGTTACAAATTCTGATGGTACAGGATCACTAAAAATTGCAAAGGTATGAAACATTATTATTTTAAAATCTATATTAATTAATTAATTAATTATCTCAGAAATAACTGAAAAATAATAATAAAATTAAAGTTGTCAATTCTTTATTAATATTAAATCATATGCCTCTGTGTCCTTATCTTATAGTTTAATATTTAAAATGTCTACTCAGACTTATTTTATTAACAGGACTTATTATACCAACGTCTTTGTTCAGCAAAATCAGAAAAAATACAGTCTTTATTTTCACCTGTTAATAAAATAAGTCTGAGTAGACATTTTAAATATTAAACTTTATTAATATTTTTAATGAAAATTTTTGTTTATAATAGTAATTGTTATGATCATTTTTTTATTGTAAATTTTAATTTCTTTATCAAAATTGTCAATAACGCAGTCTTATTAATGTTTCAATAATTTAAAATTCAGACTTTACATTATATAAACATTTTTAAACACCATGTTTTTTTAATCTGAAGAAGTTAAAAAATTCTAAAAAAAAAAACAGATGTTGCGT